TCTTAAACATCTATTTTACATCATAACAGACTGACAATTGTCAAATTTGGATCATCTATCTGACACCTTTAGTTTTTTTTCACGTTGAAATTAAGTTATTCTTATGCAGTTTACTATGATGACTGATAAGCACAATAATTACTTATGATTTACATAGGTAGTTATATTTATCTGTACAAAAATATGAAGTGAAAATAGATAAATATTCCAAAGTGAGCAAAAATGTGAAAGACAACTATGAGCAACAAATATGGGGTCAAAAGTCAAAAGGGATAAAAAACTGGCACTTCTGGATCAATCGTGGATGGGTAAAAGGAATAAAAATTTGTACATGGAGAATTGCAGCAACCGGTGCCGGCCAGGCCACAACCGGCGCCGGTCGGATGGCTTTTGTGAGCGAAAGGGTCCAGTAATGCATCGGGGCCAGTCAAACGAAGCAACCGGAAAAAATTTACACATGATCGGTGCCGGTCACCTGACCAATCGGCACCGGTTGGATCGTTTACCTGCGAAGAACACGTAGGATCGGCGCCGGTCAGACTAAAACCGGCACCGGTTGGGTCGAAATCTGCTAAAAACATAGCTATACGCAAAAATTTCTTGATAGGAAAACTTCTCCTTCCTTATGATTTTATCAAATATTGCTTCCATATCTGATTGTTTGGCTCGAATAGACTAAAAGATGTCATCCTTTAGCCTATATAAAGTCCTCAATTCATCAAATAAGATCATTCCATTCCACACTTTAATTCATAGCTTATATATTTTTGTTCTTGATATTTTCTTCAAGTTCTTGTGGAGGGAAGTTTATCCTCTGAAATCAGTGGTGTTTAGGTATTATTTCCTTTGTAGTCTCATATTCCACTACATTTAATTGTTGTATGTAATTGATATGAGCATTAGAATCTAATTTCTTAACTAAGACTAGGGATGACCTTCTATGCCCACTAGGTGTTTGACAAAAGTTTTAAACCAATAAATTGTGATTTATCCTTTATACATTGATTGTTTATGACTATGGTATACAACATAGAAGTATATCAAATTTAGTTCATACTTGCAATTAACTTTGACGTCTAAACTATGAACACTAAAGGATAAACATATATAGAACCGAGAATAGAAATATATCTAATCTTATATGATTAGATATTCAACGGGGTTTTCAGTGGATGAATGTAAGACGTAACGGGACTTACAGGTAATGAAAATCACGCTCCCGCTGTCTTAGCCAAAGTTGGAAATATATTAGCGACATCGTATTCATAATTATTGGGAAAGAACTAATATTCAACCTTATCAAAGCATTTAAGTGATTCCTGAAGCCTTAGTCGTTGTTATATATCAATAATCTTAATTTCGAATTAATTAAAGATATATTCTTGTACTAAAAGTGAAAATCAAAGTTAAAACAAAACACAGATAATCTTAATTTCGAATTAATTAAAGATATATTCTTGAACTAAAAGTGAAAAACAAAGTTAAAACAAAACACAGATCAAAATCCTTCCACTTTACCCATTTCTTTATTTAAACTTATCTACTCTCAGACTAAATTGAACAATGTTTCACAGTGGATTGACACCGGTATTTTACCAGAATTTATTACCATATCGGTACTTGTACACTTGCAAGTTTAGCCTGGTCAATGACACTCTCTTAAGTAACTATTACTTGATGTAGGTAATCAAACGTATTTTCCACAAAGACTAGCCTATGTGTATCAATTTGACTAAAGAGTAGTGTATTTGTTTTTGGTAATAATTCATCATGAGTTTGTGTCATAATGGTCGCGTTCTCGTCAGAGGCGCATTCCAAAAAAATATTTACATGAAGATGCTGAAGGTGAGAAGATATACGAGGAAACGAAGAAAAGAGATACAAACCTGATGGATTGTGTACAAAGATGCATCAGATATGGAAGCAGAAGAACCAAGTCAAATGTTTTATAATAAATAATTGTGGTAGATTGAAAGATACATTTGTTGTAAAACTTTTATATGCTTCTTTTGTTGCTTATTGTTATTGTGCATGTATTGCTTTTTGTTGCATCTTGTTTTCTCTTTGTTGCATCTTATTGTTTTTTGTTGCATCTTTTTGCTTTTTTTGTTGCATTGTACGGAGTATTATTTATTGTTTTTCATTGTTGATTTTTTATAATTTACTTAGGTTTATATTTATCTCAGCTATATCTTAGGTGAAAAAATCATATTCACATACACATACAAACACCTAAAATTATAAATTTAAGTTTTTGTATGTCAATAACAACATGAAACACTGATAAACAATAAAACAAAAAATTGAAATTTATCAATAAAAAGAAATAATAAAAAAACTCAAAGAAAAATATGTAACAACTAATAATTATTAAATTTTTGCAACTACTTTTAACATATATATTTATTCGATTTTTACAAATGTTTTTTATAATTTCGTTTTTTGACATTTTTATTTTCAACTTTATATCATTTACACGATTTTTAATTCATTTATTCATTTTAAAAAAAATTAAGAATTTTATTTTCTATTTTTTTTTAATTTCAGTTATACAAAACTTAATGTCATTTTTTGAATGTTGTAAAATATTATATAATTAATTGAATTTTTAAATGTTTTGAAATATTTTATATTAATTTTGATTGTTTTTTATATTTTTAAATTTGTATATCTATCGATTTAAAAACAAATATCCTTCTTACAGATTGATAACTACTATTCATATTTTGAAATAGTTCCAAGACATTTTTATCTGATTTTACACATTGGTTTATAATTTCTTTTTTCCATTTATAAGTTTTGAGTTTTTTGTACTTTCCCCTTTTATTTTACTCTAGTTTATGTATTTTAAAAAAACATTTTTTTTTAAAACTTTTGTAATTTTTACACATTTATTTTATTTTATTAGCTTTTTACCTCTTTAAAGTTTTAAGTGTTCAACCACCCAAAAAATATTTTAACTATTCTCGAGAATATGTATATTTTTAAAGTTTGAATTTGTGTATATTTTTTTTCAATTTTTGACTTAGTTTTCTAAACTTATGAATTTTTTAGTGTTATTATAGAGCATAAAGTTGACACATTAATGGATTTTCAATCTTCCTTGTGTAATCCATTACTTTTTTGAATGATGTGTAATCCGTTACTGAACGAGTAGTCGGCTACTTAACAAGTAGTGGTGATGGTCTATTATTGAAAAAAAGAAAATCATTTCTAGTGAAAGAAAGTTGAAAAAGTGAAATTAAAAATGATATTATTTTTTCTTTTGGATCTATTTGTGAAAAGTTCCCAATTTGAATTGACTTGAGTTGTAAGGGAATGTTTGGAATAGCTTAAAAAAAGCATTTCTCAGTTTTTGGCTTAAAAAAACACTTATTTACCAAACACTATCAATTTTTACTTTTTCTCGACTTGCGTGTGAAAAGTGCTTTTTCGTAACACTTATTTTACTAAACACTACCAACTTTTACTTTTCAAAATCACTTTTTTCTCAAACACTATCAATTTTTACTATTTATCACTTTTTCTCAATCACTCCAAAAGTACTTTTTTTTAAGCAGAAGCAGTTGCAAATACTCCCTAAGTCTTGTCTAGTTTATTTGTCTACTATGATTTGGCTTAACATGATATATTTTGGTTAGATCTCATCTCAAATGAGTCAAAGAAAGCAGACTATCAAAGTACTCCATATCAATCATACATTTCTCAAGAATTTGTTTCACAGAATAAATAATTCAAATATCCCAAACTTTGAATGAGTGTGACGTAAACACAATAAACTTGCATATGTAATTTTAATATTCTGAACTTTATATAAAGAGTTATGTTAGCACCATGAGCATATAATTTTCATCATAAATTATATGTTCTTAATTTTAAACTAATATATGACCATGGTGCAAAAATAATTCTTTATGTAAACTTTGGTGTATTTAAATTACCTATGCAAGTTTGGGGTATTTATCTCACATTCTTGAAGGGTTTGGGGTATTTGAATTATTTCTCCCTTGTTTCATTGTGAATTTGTTAAACTATTTTAAAGTTTTATATGTTTATTATCGACATTTTATATTAAGTTTGCTATATTTTAGTGTTTTATTTATTAAAATTTAAATTCATTTTCTTTTATTTTTAAATTTAACTAAAAAGTTTCAATTTTTTTTTTCTTATTTTAGCTTTGAGTTCTTCATTTTACAAATCTAATTCGATTTTTTATACTAGTAATTCTTAAGACATTTTTAATTTTTTGAAATTATATACTATCTCTTTTTCTACTTTTTTTTTTTCTTTTTGGAGATATTTTACGTTTTTTTAAATGTTATTTAAATTTCTTTTTAAGAAGGTTTCCTTAATATTTAGAAATATTTCACATTTTTTAGCATTTTTTATAGTTGTAACATTTGTTATAATGCTTTTATTTTGAATTCATCATTTCCATAAGGGGTAGGATTAAGGACAAGAGGGAGTGACACACATACTAATAAAAAGTGGTTTATGTGATTGATATTGAATTGAAAAAGTAAGATTAAAGTAAAAATAATTTAGATCCACACAAACTTTACCAAATTTGGTATGAGATCATTTTATTGAAATGGAGCAAAAATGTGTAATGAAACAATCTTAGTAGGACATATGAAATATATTGAAAAGATAACTTTAATTAGGCTATTTTTTGTGTGCAACTTGATTAGGTTGTTAAGTGAAAAAAAGTTATATTATTTTCTTTTTTTGACAAATCTTTCTAACCTACTATAGTATCTGTTCTGTTAATGTCAACATGCTTGAATTGTGATGAGATTCAAACACGTGACCTCCTCTTTGAAAATGTCACAGTAATGTCATCAAACCACAAGATACTTGACATGTTTTGTTTTTACTTTTCGAACTATTTCTGAAAAATTCCCAATTCGATATACTACGTATTTAATTACTGCCCAAGTCTAATTCCGTTAAATTGTGAATTCTCAAGCTTTCCAAGAGTGGGCTCAGGGCCAATCTCGTTTTCAGTCTTACAGGGCCGCGGCCCAAATAATTGGGATTTTGAGAAGAAAACAGCAACAACTAGGCAGCTAGCTCTTACACGTCTGTTTGTTCAGCTTCGTGGCTTCTAGCCTTCGATCCAATCATCCAATTTTGAAGCGAGCCTCAGGACTGACTGAATTAGGAATTTCTTTTGCAACTGCCAAGGTATTGATTTACTCAGTTAATCACTTCCAATCTTTGTATTTGTATATTGTAAATCCAGCGTGGTATGATTTATTGCCATTTTTTCGTCTTTTGCTGCCTTTGCAATATTTTTAACTGTTTTTTCATCATATTACATGCCTAGTTTAAAGTTATCAACTCATTTTCGTTTCTTTTTAGTTTTATCTCTAATTATCTATGATTTTATATCAGTATATGTTTAGTTTAATGTTATTCATTGATTTGAACACCTGGGATTTATTGTGAGAAGCTTTCAAATGTTATGGAGTGGAGTATCAATGAATTATAGTAGGGTTGAAGATGAAGCTAGCGAAGATAGGTTTAAATGAATACTCGTAGAGAACAATTTTTAAATCTCACGATAACCATGCCTTATTGATCAGCCGTATATTTTCTCTACATGAATGCTATTTTTTCTCTTTTTAGATATATTTTCTTTGGTAGTATGTTTTTCAACTTTGCATATTTATTTATAACAAATTGATTTGTCTGTGCATTTTCAAAGCTTTATTTGCATGTGCATTATATACATCGTATCTATTGCATTTAAAATGGTCTATTTTCATTTTTAGTTTATGTGTTATGTTAAGAAATCAGTCTTTATTTGTGAATTAGGTAGTATGAAAGTATCTTTTAAATCTTTCTTGTTTTTGAATCCTTAAGTCAATTTTTTTAAGTATTCATGTCTCTTGAATCCGTATGAAGTATGAACGGCTTGGTTAGATACTGTTGAGAAATGTTGTTAATTTCTTTAGATCTTATGGTTTATATTTCATCACTAATTTAGCGAGATGAGTTACTCAATTATAAAAGAAGATTTAACATTTTAACTACAGGGATTGCTATATTTGACCTTTTATTACAAGTTCTCATTTCTAAGAGAAGAGACCTAATAAGCATGAATGTGTATTTTTTTTAAGGCCCGGTGTTAATCCAGAACCCAAAGGTTTCTGGGGTGAGGGCCAGGGAACACCTCACCAATTTATTAGATGAATGTGTATATGATATCTCCATCCATGGTGAGATTTCTTGCATTTTTCTATACTTAGAGGCTTAGAGCCATATAGAACACATACCCTATGAGCATAAATTCTTAAACCCATAAAGAATAGGAGCCTTTAGAATTGCATTGTAGGGTGGTCTAGATTATTGATCTATGGCACAGTATTAAGTGGAACACTTGGAAGTTGGAACTCAGTTTTACTTCAAGATACATTTCAGTTACTCGTATAAATTATAATATTTATGAGCTCTCCGTGATTGCACAAACAAAAACATCTTGCTTGTGAATTTGTTAATTAACGTGTGTATTTGATATAAAAATATACTTTTTTTGAGATAAAAATCTTTGTTTCAGGAAGTTGACTTTGTATTTAACATTAGCTGCATATCTTGACTATTATTAGTTTATTGCTCATGAAACAAATCATATTATGTTAAGTATTGTTAAGATATGAACTTTATAATCCTTGTTGATAGATAATTAGATATGTTTATGGTCAAAGTGATGCATCAACAAATATGAAGTCAAACCATTATGACTAAAAAGAATGGAGGAAGTATAATGTACGGAGTATCTTGTTTTACACAGTGTTGTGAATAACGGCGCAATAGCGCGCAATAGCGGAAAAGCGGTGCGGCAGACAGGTTAGGCTCTACAAGGAAGGCTCTCGCGTGGCGTTTGGGAGTTGCGGCCATAGCGCCCGCTATCGCAGAGGTGCGCGAAAGATAATAGCGGCCGCTAACACGGCGCTTTTTATGGTGAAGAGTACTGCGCAAAATTTTAGCGTTAATTTTTAACCGCAGACATAAAAGGGGTTAAATTAGACTTTTAAAACAAAAATATTAACCTAGTTAAAGCTCTTAGACGTAAGTTGAAGGTTACCAAAAGCTCAAACCGAAGCCATCTTTTGAAAATAGTCCGTTGCACCTCTGCGATGGCTCTAACGACCATCTTCTGCTTTGCTATGGCCTCACCTCCAAGAACGACACGTGCTGCCCTCCTCTGCCTTCAGTAATATCTCCTGCTGCAACTCTTCTTCTCCAACCTTTGCTGCAGACCTGCAGTCTTCTTTTCTTCTTCTTCTTCTTCTTCTCGTATGGAGTCTAGTCAGTCTACTGTCTTGTTTAAGCCCACAGGAAAACATCTTGAAAGTATGTTTTTGACTCAATGTTTTGATTTAAGATGTTTTAGTTATTATTAGCAACTTATGTTTTGCTCAAAGTATGAAACTTATGTTTTGCTCATGAAAGTATGAAACTAAGGAGTATATCTAAGTAATTAAGGTGGGTAAACCATCTAGTTTCAATAGTCTCTTTGCAGACCTTAGATGTACCTTAGCATAGTTAAAACATATGCTTCCAGCAAGGCAAAGAGTATTTTTTTTTCATATGTATGTATTACATAAGCTTCTATTAGTTACTTATCTATTATATTTGAAAGTAGTCTAAATAGCGGTCATCCCGCTATCCGCTATACCGCTATAGCGTTTTTGGGGCTCGCCGCTCCGCTCTGCTATCTGGGATTGACAACACTGGTTTTACATGAAGAAACCTGTTAAATGAAAATATTTAAGTGTAGTAGCAACATTGGTTTATATGCCAGTTTGTTTACAAGAAACTGATTTGGATGTAGTGTTTTTTGTATTGTTTTGTCAGTTTTTTTAATTTTAGGAGTATCTATCACATCAAAATGGTTGTATTATAATATTACCTACAGAATATTACAATAAGATATCTGCATTTTTTTGCTTTCAGCATTTGATATTTTGCAGAAAATGCTGGCAAGACGGTGTATAGCTTCTACTCATTTGATTAGGATTTACTCGGGGAGGAACATGGAAATGGGGAGTTTTCTTTGCCCCCTACGGAGTCCAGAGTATTCCAAGGTTGCTGCAGCTGAGCCTGCCACAGCCGATTCCAACCCGAAAATCGTTGGCAGTAAATATGAGGTTTGAACTTCAAAAGATCAACATTCTATGTGATTGCTAGCCTGCTAGGTAGATCTGTAGATGCCACACCTAATTTCTAAAAGGTGAATATTTTGATATCTTGCTCAAAAGAGAATATTCTGAGTATTTGAGGTTTGATTTTCATAGGAAAGTCTAGAGAGTATAATTTTTAGTACGTAGTATTTAATTATTTATTCATTACTTAGCAATGGAGTGGAAGGACATACCTTTTGCAGCTTGAGGTAAAAACCTTTTTACAAGAAAGCGATGATGCCTTGTCTACTTTGATGCATGTATAAATTACATATCCCCATCAACCTTGCAAGAAAGAAAGAAAAAGAATCATCCTAGGAATTTTTTATTGATTCTGTTTTAGGCATAATCTGATGTCAAGACTTTACTGATAAAATCTTCTATTGGATGTTTTGAGCCCCGTCCCCCATTTACGGCTACACTAATTTGTGGTTGTGGTATTACACCAATCTTTTCCCATCATTTGCAATGGAGCCAAAGATTCACTATTTTTTGGCTTGAGAATATGATGGAATAAAGCAAAATGGCCCACTAAACTGTTTGCGCTTCTTTGTTATGAAGCAGCAGTCAGTCCATGCAATTTTGGACGCGATTTTCACTATGGGTCATCCAGAAACAGTCTCTTTGTGCTAGTATAGGGGTAAGAGTGCGTACATCCGACCCCCCTTACCCCACCTTAGGTGGGAGCCTTTGTGGCACTGGGGTAAATGAAAATGATGATGATGATGATGGGGTATTACACCGACCTCAAGTGTATGTCATACAAGCTAACCATGCAATTACATGTATATGTTTCTGAGTGAATTGGTGATGTTTTGCATAGGAATCTTACTGTTCGATTTGCTTCTAAATATCAGCAGGTGAGTGTAAATAAGATGTTTTGGGCTAAACCATCGTCATTAGAACTGCCCCCTGACTCATCACAAAGGATAGTAGAGCCACAGTATGAGGGCATCAAGCGTTTCATCCTCAAATTGATGATGTTTTACAGTAAACAGAGCACATCCATTCGAGGGGCAAATGTTATTTATCGCCGCATTACTCGTCAGGTTGATGGACCTGCTCTATATGATGGTCAGTCCATCTCCTTTGTTGTGTTTTCCAAACATTCAAACTTGTCTTAAGTAAAAAAAGCTTCCATCCTAAATTTTGTTCCCACTTTACGTTTCGAATGTCCTAAAACTTTCTTCCCATTACCTTTTTGAATGCCATAAATGGATGATATTGTTTCTCACTTTCTCTATTTTTATATCACTCACAACCATACACTTCCAATTTTTTAATAAGTGTGCCATGTCAGTACTGTTGCAGACTTGCAACTTTCACATGTATATATTTGTCTTGCTTTTCTTCTGATTATAAGCCAACTTGCAAATGTTGTTAGTTCACAATGCATAGAACCATGTGTAAATTGGTAACCCAATAAATTTTTTAGAGATTTTCTAATGAATTGATTATTTAATCATAGTTTAAAATAAAATAAAGCTTTTGAATTGTTTAGGCTTGAAAAGTATGCTTTCTCTTTCTGCGGTTTATTCCGTGGAACAAAAAACTGACTTGGACCTATATTTTGTAGTATTTAGCTTGGAGAAAACATTTAAAACAACATTCTCTGTGCTTGTTCTCCATATGTGGCTATGCTTGAGACGATTGAAAGAAGATGGAAAGGATGGCTCTGAGCTGGGGCAGTATTTGTATGAGATATACAATCATGATCTTGAAATAAGAGTTTCAAAGGCTGGGGTACTTATTGAGATTCTGTCCTAAACTCATTCTTTTTGTTTACTTACTGCCTATTATTTTCAAGGTTAACCTGCTTTGAAGCATATCATGAACATCCAAATTTGAAGGGGAACACCTTCATATCGTATTAATACTTTTTTTAGCATTTGTATTCACATCATTCATCCCGTTTTTTTATAATATTTTGAAACTTTTTAATGTTATTTTGATGTCCACCGTATTGGAACTGTAGGTCAACTTACTCTTGAGTAAATGGATGAAGGAATTGGAGAAGATATTTTATGGAAACATTGTAGCTTATGACGCTGCCATTCTTCCTGAAGCCAAGCAGGATGAGTTACAAAATGTAATTTGGAGGTAAAGTCGTGAATGTTTTGGTTCAATCAGACTAATGCAGTATCTTTCTCACATTCTTTTGAGTGGTACCCCCGGATAAACATTTAAAAGTAGTTTGGTATTGATTTGCTTCATTTAGGAGATAAGGTACCAAAATGCATAAATACCAATAGTTAAGGTATAAAGTTACCCATTTATGCATTTTTCCCGTATATTTATGAAATTATGATTTGAGCTTTTTGTTGCCTTCTATGCTCACAGTATGTTGCCCGAAATATTAATTTATTTTATAATAATAATATTGCAGGAATATATACTCCGATGACGGCACCTTAACACCCGATGGTCCTGCCTTGCTTCCTGTCCAGGCAAGTGTTCTTTCCACTATCATGCTCTTAATTACACGCATCCTTGTTCTTCAACATGGAGATCCTTCCTGACTTTGAGAACAACTTTCTACGCTATGTGCAATGACTAACAATGTGCTACTGCACCTATATCCAAATCCCAGTATATTAGACTATGTTCACAAGTTTTTTGTTCTAAGGGAGGGGAAGGATGATTCCCCTCTCCCCTTGTTTAAAATTCATAGGGGTGCTACCTCCCATCCTCTTACAAGCTTCTTGTTCATCCCAAATTGAAGGGAAGCTCCCTCCTCAGTAGGATATGTTTTGGTTGAGGTTTTGAAGGGAAAGCCTTTGGATGACTTCATCTATATCTTGATAATGTTTCTAAAATTGAATAAAAGGTGATGTACAGATATGAAATGTTATACGATCACATATCATGCTTATGTTTCAATGTGTAGAAATACTCAAATACATGTCATGATAGAGAATAAGCCTCCAAAGCCTTCTTCCTCCATCCTAACAGACCCTAAAAGTTCATCAGGCATACCTTTTCCATTCCAACAATGAAAAATGTGAATTCCTTTTTTCATTCGCAGTCTACACCTTACCTATAATGTGCAAGGCTACTTTTCTTTTACTACATATATTTTAATTTTTTGGATATACATTAAATGTGTTGGGTATCAGCAGGCTATGTCACGGTATGTTCGCAGGGAGACCATGTGTCTTTCATTGACAGGTATGTTCTGCCCCATACTCCACTTTATTCCACCCATTTTGCCGCTCACCTTTTGATTTTAGAACAGTGGCTGTGAGGGCATTTTGTAGTTCTGCTTTTGTTAGTCTTAAACTATATTGATGAGTCATCAATGCAACAGATAAAGCTGCTTTGTTTTCCGGGAACTTCATGTTCACCTCATTGGATGGAAAACCGACCGGTTCTAAGGGGAGATAGCATTTAAAATAAGACCCACATCTGATTCCAGTTTGCATCTTTGCAATTCATAATGCATTTTATGTTCCAGTTGACTACCTATGAGAAGCAACTTGCTGAATACTTGGGCAAGAAATTAAGGAGAGCTACCCTTATGCTGTCGTGAAAAGACATTCAATCCTGAGTTCTCATAATTATCGGTGAGGTGCTAGTTGGGGGGTGGGTGGGGGGGATTAGTATACTTCATATTCACAACCTGCAATGCTGGAAAAAATGCAAGTGTCAACAATGTCTTGATTATTTTGAGTACATCGAAAATGAGAACATTATACCTTGAATTCACAAAAGTTTGTAAAACACTTTCTTCGTTGCTTGGCGGCGTGCATAAGCTATTAAGTTTTATTCTTTTAAATGAAAACCGGGGTCTCCTACATGAAGCAATGGATACTATTCTCAGGCTATATTTCCAATAATTTAAGTTTTTAACTATATTCTGTCATGTATCATGCACTCATGGTAGGAGGACTAGGGGTGGACACATGGACCTGGTTAAAATTCAGGAACCGACTGGTTTTTCCTGAAGATCGAACTGGTTTTCCAGTTTCAGTAGTAGACTCGCTCCAAACCCTTTCAGGATTCTCCAAAATAGTAGCTGACCCTCGACCGGATTAACTATGTCCGGTTACGGCTCTGGCTCCTCCATTTCCATTACTCAGAATTGACCGGTTTTCGGACCAGAATCGTGACCGACCACAATGGACCATCTCTAGTGGTCCTATTATACATGATCGAGGCTGGTTGAGTTATTATTATTGCCAAAAATCTAAAAGACTACAAGTGTGCCCTTGTTTAAGTTGGTTCAATGCGATTTCAATCAAATAATTTTTTAAAAGGGCGATTGGGGAGTTTCCTTCATTATCTTGAAATTCTTACTTTCTACTTCGTATGTTGTTACTTGGTTTGTCTGGTTATGGCCGGGCACCATGTATTATGTAACTTATGTTTGGACAGACGGATTTAAGGGGGGGGCGCGGGGGCGACCGATCCCTTGGACTTTCAAAATTTTCTAGAGATATTATCCAAAATAGGACTAAAAAGGTTTGCAAATTCCAAAATAGGACTGTCATGTTTTTATTCCCAAAATAGGACTAATTACTGTCATGTTTTGGCAGTATCAGACTTTAAACATGGCAGTATTTTCCAAACTTGACAGTAATTACTCCTATTTCGGGAATAAGAAATATGACAGTCCTATTTTGGAATTTTCAAATTGTTTTGGTCCTATTTCGGGAACTTTCCCAATTTTCTACTATATATGTAGTATTTTCATAAAATTTCCATACTTTAATTAGATATATATGTTTTTGCTCCCTTAACTTTTATGTTTTTAAAGTTAATATATAGTGTTACATTATGTAATACTTAATTGGAGATTTAAAAAAGTAAAATCTAAAATATTTAGATAGTTTAAGACTTAGCTAGGATACCTATTATATAAAAATTCATAGCTTTGTAATAATTAATTATCTTTATTAGATAATTAGTGCTAAATTTTGTAAAAGGTCATATGATAATAAATATCAGACACACTGGTTAAACAATTTTAAATCACGTGAAGTGAATCCAAAATATAAATGTTTGTTGATATTAAATTATACAACTCATTTACTTCTTACTTTCTAAGAGCAATTTGTTGCATAAATAATAAACTTCAACGCATTTTAGCGTTAATACAAATATAATACGCATCATATATATATATATATATATATATATATATATATATATATATATATATATATATATATATATATATATATGAATGAATGAACAATACTACGTATATTATTATTCTAAAAATAATAATCTCATTCATACTATTGTAATTTTAAAAAAACTCCTCGTAACCCATGAACACCCTACTTGGTAGACAAAAACTACAATTCAAAAACAAATTATTTATTCTGGTAAGATTCATGTGGTTAAACAAGACATAAGTTATTTAAAAAAGGGAAAAAGTACAAATATACCCCTGTAGTATGGGTTTGGGAACAGATATACCCCTGTTCTATTTATCGGAACAAATATACCCCTTCACTTTTAAAAAGGTGCAAAAATATCCCTCATGTTCTTATAAAGGGGCAAATTAATCCTTATTGACTTTAAATTAATAAAATAAATTTAAAAAAAAAACAAATATAAATTATAAATTCAAAATTTAAAAACAAAAAATTTTTAAAATGTAATAGTGTCTAATTCTCCCTTTTATAGTTTTTATATCACAATTTAATATTGTTTAAGCATGAAATATTATTTCAAAATTTTACTATATGTTTAAGATTCTTTTAAAAAGGTGCAACATATTTTTTGCAATGTAGAGAAAAATTAATTTTTTGCATTCTTTGCACTATAAAATTATATATTTCGAAATAATATTTTATACTTAAAATATTAAATTGTGATATAAAAACAATAAAGGGAGAAATGGACATAAATACATTTTTAAAATTTTTATTTTTTAATTTTGAATTATTAATTTATTTTTGGTCTTTTTTGAAATTTATTTGATTAATTTAAAGTCAATAAAAAATAAGGGATATTTTTGCACCTTTTTAAAAGTTCAAGGGTATATTTGTTCCGAAACATAGAACAGGGGCATATTTGTTCATCCACCTATACTACATGGGTATATATGTACCTTTTCCCGAACATAGATTGATGTGTACCTCTTAAATTTTTTACCTTCAAATAATTCGACAATTTCCTTTGATTTGCAATTTCTTATGCTTTAATGTATTAATACTTTTTTCTAGAGCATTTACGGTTCCAAAATTAAAGTTATTTTTATGTTATCGTGAATATACTAATGATTTTTTTTTTGAATAAAAATTAGCCGCAGAGTCCTTCAATAGTGAAAAAATTTCTTTCCGCTACACTAGCGGAAAAAAATTCCCGCAACATTAGCGAAAATAATTCTCCCCGCTACACTAGTGAAAAAAATTTCGCCCCCCTTGACTTGAAATCCTGGATCCGTCCCTGAGGGGTTTGGTTAAATTTCTCATTTAAACAATTTCAATTTTTTTATGAATTATTTAATAAAAGCTAGCACCTCATCTATGTGAGTTTTTTATGTAGTAATCGTGTCTATCACTTGCAATATTTAGGTCAGTCCTTGAGTCCCGGCCGACCAGGTCAGATTGGTCCAGCACAGTAACGGGCCGGGTACGAGCTGAACCGGCCCAGTTCACCCCTAGTACGACCTATCTCAGGGTTCTAAAGATTACAATTTGAAATGCACAATATGATAAACCAAACACAATTGAAGTGCATTATATATTGTGAATGCTAAATGAGTAATTTTGTAATTGTTAACATATGCAAAACTAAGTAAACCTATATTGTTTAATACTTTATTTGTTAAGTTTTGAAGTGGAATTTTGGTAAGAACATAACTACAACCATAACAAACTAACACATTTTCTTCAGTAGATAACAAAAACATACTCGATTAGTCTATCTTCTGATCTGATTGATGGTAAATGATTTTTAATCGTTCTAAAAAACAACAATATTAGTATAATTCTGACTACAGATAAAAAATTACTTTTCTAAGTATTGGGCGTGTTTCGAAAAACTAAGAAAATTAATTAATAAAACTTAATTAAATAAAATGACTAAAGAAAAACAAGAAAAGAGATGGAACAGAAACTAGTCAAAGCTCGTGCTACGCACGATTTCCTTAAAATGTATTCGTTGCTTCCCGGGGTGCTAGAAGCGTTGCAAGAATCGTTTCCCAGGATACGATGACTAACGAGCAACCGTTTAAGCACTTAAACGATTGTTCCGGCGAACGTGAACAAAGGCAGAAACACAGAGGAAGTTTCGGAAACTCGAGGTGTTTTTCAGAGCTCAAAATACGTGAGTACGTTTGTGAGTGGTGTATGTGTTGTTGCAAATCACCTGCCAGCTACTTATAGGAAGGATTTGGAGGCGTGTTAATGGACATGAACGTTGATAATCAATGTCCAGAAGGGGAATCTTAAGGAATCTTAACCCCTTAAGGGGAGTTTCCCTTTATAAAGGGTTCAAATTCCCTTGGGGTTTCAGGTGTGGGAAAAACCACACTAGAAACCCATCATTTTCCTAGTTTTCTCCGTTCCAACGAGTGAACTTCGAGAATCAATTTCTCATTCACCTGTTATCCGTTTTGAGCGTACGATATATCGAATTGTAGCCCTAAGCAAGGACAATCCGAAATAACTTTGACTTGACCCATATTGAAAGTAGACCCCACTCAAAAAATTGCCCCAAAATGACCATTTAATGCAATTTAGTAACTTTTTCCAACACTAAGTACTTCAATAATTTTAGAAATTCACATGTCAAAGTGTCAGTACACCAATAAAGCAAAAATGGAATACCGAAGTAAATTATTATTTATCAGACCCAACAATTACCACTATTATTATTATTATTAATATTAATACTATTGTGCTACTATAACTATTGTTTTGGGAAAATGTAATTATAACTATTATTAATATTATTATGCTATTAGAACTATTTTTATGCTCTTATAACTATTACTAATCGAATGTATTTGATTAAAAATCGAATCGAATATGATGATATTCTTTTTTCAAAAATTACGAAATTTGATATATTTCTTAAAAAATTTGGAACAAAAATATTAAATATATACTTCCTCCGTCCCGAAATAAATGTCCTGTTTTTCTTTTCGGTCCGTCCCAAAATAAATGTCTCACTTCTTTAACTTCTTTATTTGGTAAACAAAAATATACCAAACAATGTCAAACAGTGTCGCTACAGTGCCAAACAATGTGCAGTCAAATTCATTTTCTTAATCTGTATGAAAGGTAAATTTGTGTGAAATTCATTTTCGGGACGGAGGGAGTAGCACTTTAAAGAAAAATACAGTAGGATTTTTTAATTGAATCCCACCTCATCTTCTCTCCAGTCAACGAACTACCCTTCTCTTCCCACTTAAAGACACTTTTTAAGAGTTTTGAAAATAAATCATCAGTGAATTTGAAAGAATGTCCCCAAATAAGGATGTATTTTCTTGGACTGAAATTTGCAGGTCTAATTTGAGCTGAGCTTAGCTTGTCTGGTCTGTTAAATACATTTCTGTGTATTTTAATTATAACTATAGAATTTTGGTCTGATCTAATCTGTTATATTACGCTTAAGTCTGGTCTCATCGAGGACCCAAAATAATCAATTGCTTCATGCTAACCGAAAATGACACATCAAGAAAAAATTGGCTTGAATGTGTGATCTGACTCCAATAATGTTAAATGTAAGAAGAGGTTTTGAGTACCACCGCTAGCTGCAATAATACGGAGTAATATATTAACTAATGCTTAACATCGTATTTGAAAGAAAGAGTATGATTATGAAATTGAAGGCATTTTGTTCTTAATTTTAATCCTACATACGTGATACGTAACGAAAAAATGGAGGAGCTGAGATGCATGC